TAGTCGTAGTAGTTTTAGTATTGTAGTAGTAGTAGTAGTAGTAGTAGTAGTGGTAATAATAGTAGTAGTAGTAGTAGTAGTAGTAGTAGTAGTAGTAGTAGTAGTAGTAGTAGTAGTAGTAGTAGTAGTCGTAGTAGTAGTAGTAGTAGTAGTAGTAGTAGTAGTCGTAGTCGTAGGAGTAGTAGTCGTAGTAGTAGTAGTAGTAGTAGTAGTAGTAGTAGTAGTAGTAGGTGTAGTAGTAAGTAATAGTAGTAGTAGTAGTAGTAGTAGTAGTAGTAGTAGTAGTAGTAGGAGGAGGAGGAGGAGGAGGAGGAGGAGGAGGAGGAGGAGGAGGAGGAGGTTGGGTTGGGTAGAGGGCGGGCTCGTGTAGCCCACCTGGGCCGCCGCGGCGGCTCCGCACAGCCGCCAAGGCCTGGCGGCCTCAACGGCTCAGGGCGGGAAGTACATGCAGCACACCACCTTCACGCCATACCGATCTGGGCATCAGCCCTCGCTCTCGGAAACGTGGCTGTCCCGTGCCGCCGCGCGCTCCTATGCCACCGCCTCGGTTGGGCTGGCAAATCCGTGCAACCGCGCGACGTCGTAGATGTGGAGACGCCGCCGGCTGAGCCCGTAACCTGGCCCCAGCGCACCTCCTTGATCCTCCTCGCCGGCGTCGGGCGGCGCACTGGTCGCCAGATCGTCCACTCGGCGTCTTTGAGACCTCGAGGCTGCCCGAGCCGCTGTCTCTGCCTCCGAAGGTGCGGGGGCAGGTCGGCTCTCAACCGCCGGCGCTCGGGCCGTGGCACGGACCCAGCAGGCTGCCCCGACCCTTCCGCGGCACCTGCGCGTTGGAACCGCACTGCGTGCAGAAGAGCCCCGCGTCCTCGTCGTCGCAAGGCCCTCCCAAAATGCTGTGGCCCCTCAACTTCCATGGGGCTGCAGGGCCGTGGTACACCTCGGCACCGCTGTCTGCCGCTCCTCCAGCCTCGTCGCCCGGTGCGCCGGGAGTCGCCTGGAGGGGCTGGGGCGCACCAAATCCGCGACACTGTGGGGGCCATCTGCTGGTCGCTGGGCCGCCCTGGGCGCCGTGCTGGCCCCCATTGCGCTCCTCCTCGTCGTCCCGCGCGTCCACGCTCAAGCCCGCGGCATCGCTGACTTCCGTTCCATGCAGGTGCGCGTGGAGATCCCCCAGCCATCGCGCCAGCTGCCCCGCTCGGCGCCTGCACGCAACAGCGAAGAGGCGCGACTCTTCGGGGACGCCCCACAGCCGGGTCCGACGGCGCGCCAAGCGGTCCGCCGCGGCGTTCCCAATGCACCGCCTGTTTACAAGCGGCTCGCCGTGGCGTTCGCCCCGAGGTGCGCCTTGACCTTCACGACCTCCACCTCCTGGTCGCCCATCTCGGCACACCACGCTGACCAGAGGTGCCGCCGCACGTTGGCCTCGCGCATGGCGAACGCCCGGTCGCGTGCACACCTCGCCTCGCCCTTGCAATCGCAATGGGCCCTGAGAGGGCCCTGCCAGAGCTGCGCCAGCATTTTGAACGCGTAATCCTCGCCGTCGCGCGCCTCCTGCAGCGGCGCCTGCACCAGCGGCACCACGCCGTAGGCCGCGCCCGTGATCTCCCGGTCGTCGCCGAAGGCCACGATGGCCCACCCTGCACGTTTCAAGGCATCGCCCTCCACGTTGAAGGCGCTGCCGTCGACGAAGACGTCACCCGAGAAGAAGCCTCCCTCGGGCCGCGTGTGCCACACGAGGTGGTAGGCCTCTGTGGAGCCTCCAACCGCGAGAAACATTGCTGCACGCGAGGCACGAGACCTCAGGCGAACAGCTCGCCCGCCGCCTCTCCGCGCTCGCGCGCAGCTCCGGCAGGCATCGGTCCTTCCTGCGCACCACGTGGCCGTCGCAAGCGAAGCAGCGGTGCCAGAGCGTGCCCCGCTCCACGCCGCACAGAGTGCATAAGTCGCTGCCCGTCTTGCCCGCGTCGCAGAGCCGAGCCTGCGGCCAATGGGATCCTCCGAGCAAGCTTCGCAGAGCCCGCTGATGGCTGATCGTCCACTCGGAGTCGTCCACCGCCCTCGGCCCGAGGAGCTTGGCCGATGGCGCCCAATTGAGCGGGGTCGCCCACGTGCCGGCCCCTCTCAGCCTGGCCAGCGCAGCCACATCGGACAACTGCCACGCGTGCCGGCGAACGATCTCCTTGGCAACTCCTGGGGAGAAGCCCCGCAACCGAATGACCTCACCTCCCTGGGGCCTCGAGGGCATCGAAGCTCGGCATGTCCAGTCCTGCCCGGCGCAGCCCAAGGCGGCAGGCCTCCGCCGGGCAGCGGCACAGACTCCCGACACGTCTTCCTCACGCATCAGGATGCCGCCCGCGGCCTCCCAACGCGTCTTCCTCACCCTCTCCGTGACGGGCCCCCGCGCCAGCGTCGAGGTCTATGCGCGCGCCAGCTGGGCCGCGTGCAGGACCCGCGGGTCCCGCGAGGCAGCGCGTGGGTGCGCTTTCAGCCTGAGGCCGACGCTGCACCCCGCTGGGAGCCCGCCCGCCGCCTTCGCCGCCAAGATTCTGAGTTGGTGCAGCTTGCCGTCGGCGATGCCTGTTACCGCCGATCCCCATAGCGCAGTCGCCGTAGGGCTCCTCCTCTGCAGCCCTGCTGCCTGCACTCCTGCCCTGCGGAGGGCCTGCACACGGAGGGAGACGCGCGCCGCTCGCTGCATTCTCGCATCTTTCTCGTAGACCCTACGCCACCTGCCATCCGTGGTATCGCAGCCCAAATATCGCGCCCCAGAGCTCCGCTGGCCGCCCTGGGCATCAGCCGCAGCCGCCTCTGCCCCTAGCGGCGCGTCCATGCCAGCAGCCACGGCTGCTGTGTTGGCGAGGTACTTGGTCTTCTTCCAGAAAACGGGCAAGCCTTTCTCGACCAAGCCGCGCACGAGGTCGAGCGTCGCGCCAGGCAGCTGCACCTGCACCTGCGTCTCTCCGCCCACCGCCTGCACGAAGACGTCGTTGACGATGTTCTGGCAGCGCACCACTGGGTACAGCTACTGCACCTGGAGCCTATGGGGGATGATGATGATGATGATGATGATGATGATGATGATGATGATGATGATGATGATGCTGATGAGGAGGAGGAGGAGGAGGAGGAGGAAGAGGAGGAGGAGCAGGAGGAGGAGGAGGGGGGATCTTCAGGAGGGGAGAAGAGGGAGGAGGGAGGAGGGAGGAAGAGGACGAAAAGGAGGAGGCAGGAGGGAGGAGGGAGGGAGGAGGGAGGCGGAGGAACACGGGGAGCAGAAAAAAGAGCGCCTCCGCGGCCTTCGCCGCCCGCGTCACGGGGCACTTCGACGACAAGGGTTCGCCGGGGGCGTCGTGCCTGCGGGGCGGACGACGGGCGACGGAACACGGCGACGGGACGACGAGGACGAGGACGGCGGACACGAGGTCTGAGGAGGTCCAGGAGAGGAGCTCTGAGGAGGTCTGTGCTGACAAGCAAGCCTACAGTCAACACAGGCCCGCGCTCCAGCCCCGAAGGGCGACCCTCTGTTGGGACAGGCGTATGGGACAAGCAGTCTCTAACATTGGGAAAGCCTGTGGGCGATCGCTGCACTAACATATGTGGAGCAACCAAGCATGATGCATATTCAAGTGCGTTGAACAGCGCACGCAAGTCCGAAAAAGGTGCCTGATGTGTTGTAATCATCGTGTTACCATCGAAAACACGGAATAAGGAGCGAAGGGGATGTTCTTAGCTTCGGCGCTCCTCGGCCATGAATATTTACCAAACCTATCCGAAGAACGGCCCGACACGTCGATCCCCTCCTGCGCTGACAGCCGTCCCTACTTTGGCGTTTTGGATATTGGGTGTTGTGCGCGAAGGGCCAGGGCTAAGGCTACAGGGCCAGGGCTAAGGCTACAGGGCCAGGGCTAAGGCGAAGGGCTGAGGCTAAGGCGAGGGGCCAGGGCTAAGGCGAGGGGCCAGGGCTAAGGCGAGGGGTGAGGCGCCAAGGCCAGGGCTAAGGCCACATTGCAGAGCGGCCGACACGACATCGCATAAGCGTGCGCGTGAAAATGCATGGGGGAAGCTTGAGTCGAAAGTGCGAACACGAGATGATCATGATAATACAATTACATAACGATGAAGATGAAGATAATGGTGATGATGATGATGATGATGATGATGATGATGATGATGATGATGAAGAGGAAGAGGAGGAGGAGGAGGAGGAGGAGGAGGAGGGAGGAGGAGGAGGAGGAGGAGGAAAAAAAGAGCAGGAGGAGGGGAGGAGGAGGGGGAGGAGGAGAGGAGGAGGAGCAGAGGAGGAGGAGGAGGAGGAGCTCCCCCCCCACCACCACCCACCGCTGCGCACGCACATGCCCACCACTTTCCTGTCAGCGTCGCAGTGCCAGAGCGGCGACTGAGCGGGCGCGAGCCCAATTGAAGGGGGAGGGAGGGCCAGCGGCGAGCGAGCAGCACAACGAGAACGAGGCAAGAGGTAGGCAGAGGGATTTCGTCACGTGATGCGAAGTTCCCTCCCCCACACCTCATCCTACTCCTCTTCCTCCCCTTTCTCCTCCTCCTCCTCCTCCTCCTCCTCCTCCTCCTCCCCCTCAGATTCGCATCACGTGACGGATCCAAGTCGCCTAAGAGGGGCGGCGAGGCGGCAGGGTACTCTGATGGACGGCTGCTGTGCCCCAGGCGCGCCAACGACAGGGGACTTGGAAGCCACCGTCTTCCGGGAGCCTGCCGACGGCCCGGAGCCAGGCGAAGGTCCCACCTGACCAGCAGCAGCAGCAGCAGCAGCAGCAGCAGCAGCAGCAGCAAGGGCCCAGCGGAGCAAACCCAGAGGGGGCACGAAGGGGACACGAGCAGCAACCGCAGCAGCGACGAAGCAACAGCAGCACCAGCCTGGCAAACCCCGGACAAGAAACGAGAGCCCCAACAGGCATACACTCCCTCACAACACAGGGGCCTCGCACTTCAGCGAGATCTGGGCGCGAGAGGGCCAGCAAGAGAGCACA